GAACTTTTTAAAATGCAATGATATATTAAGAATAATAGTAATTTATTTATATTTTTATAATTAATTGTAAATCATCAATTTAAATTCTAAATAAAATTTTGAATGATAATAAATTATTAAATATATACAATGGAACTAAAATTTTAATTATTAATTTTGAAAAGCTCATAATTAATGAATGTAAAAAAATTTTAATAATGAATTTTTTATATGTAAAGAAATAAAAAAAAATATTAATTAAAATAATTGAAATTTTAGTAATTTTATTTTTTATACATAGTAGTTCATTTTTTTGAAAATGATTTAAGTAAAGAAAATTAAATAAGAAAATATATATAATAAAAAATTTTTACTTAATTCATATTCATTCATTTACTTATTTTACTTTTCCTTTTTCTTTTTCTTTTCTTTTTTCTCTCTTACTTTTTTTGTATTTTTTTTTTTATTTTAATAAATAAACATATTTGATTATTTAATAGAAAGTGATAAAGAAACACTGAAACTTATGAATGTAGTATATATAAAGAAGAAGTTGATATTAATGATAAAATAAATAATATTGATAAAGAAATTAATAATGAAGAAAATGAAGAAATAATTAATTTACCTTTATTTCACTTTTAAAAAAAATCAATAAAAGCTAATATATAGAATTATGTAGATAAAATAGTAAGAAATGTCCAAATTATATTAAAATTTTTGGTAATAAAAATAAGAACTAGTTCTATTCAAACACATTTGAAAAATCATAGATTGTTACTTGAAAAAGAAAAGCAAACAATATTAAATAATTATATTAAATGATATTCACAAGAGATTCAAGTCAAAAAATACAAGTAGTCATTGAATGTATAATTTTAGATATGCAAGCATTTAAAGTAGTAAAAGGTGAAGCATTTAATAAAATAGTATTAATACTTAATCCATATTATCAAATACTAAGTAGAAGAATAGTTAAAAATTTTATAATAAAGCAATTTAAAAAAAGAGAGAGTTAGTTACAAATTTTATTAAAAATTTTCAGAAAAAGTAGTATTAATAGCAACCATTTGATCATCTTAAAATTTGAAGATTTTTTAGATATTTTGATACATTTTATTAATGAAAATTAGATTTTAAAATATTTACTTTAGATATATTTAGATTTAAAGATTAATATTCAGGTGATAAAATTGCTGATAAAATTTATAATATACTTATAGAATTTGGATTAAAAACTAAAACTTTAAAAATAATAATTGATATTAGTGGTAATATGATTTGCAATACTAATATTTTAAAATTAAATATATCAAATGATTTTATTTATATTAAATATGTAGCTTATGTTCTTAATATTGTTATAAATACTAGGTTGGAAATTATATTAACATATATTAAAAATTTAAGAAAATCAATAAAATTAATTTGAAAATCAATCAAATTACTTGAAGAATTAAAAAATTTTGCAAAGTTAGATAATAAACAATTTTTTTGTCTGATTATGAATTGTAAAACAAGATGGAATTCAAACTTTAAAGTGATTAATCATACATGTAATTTGAAGAAAATATACAAATATTATTAGTTAAAAATCCTAAATTAAAAGATATATTTTCAAATAAATATGAATGGAAATTGTTTAAAGATTTAGACCAATTTTATATCAATTTAATAAAGTAATAATTGAAATTTTGTCACAAAAATATCCTACTATTGCACATTCAAGAGTAAATTTATTAGCAATTAAAAAAGATTTAGAAATTAATTATGGTAATGATTATTTATTAAATGATGTAGTTAAGGCAATGTTAGTAAAATTTAATAATTATTATAATAAATTAGAAGAAACTTCTCATATTGTAGCCTTTTTAGATCTTAGATATAAAAAATATTATTTTTCAGAAATGATAGATTATGAAATACAATCATCAATTAGAAATCTATTAGAGCAATAATAACTATAAAAAGTTTCTATTGTATCAACAAAAAAAGTTTCAAGCTTTTTAAAGAAGTTAAAAGGAATAAATTCTATTATTACAAATGTGGATGATAAAGTTAATAAATATTGAATTTCTGCTAAAGCTGAAGAAGATGTAAAACCTTTGGATTGGTGGAAAACTCATTCTACTGAATATCCTAATTTATCAAAACTTGATTTGAATATTTATGTATTCAAGCAAGTTCGATTCCATGTGAACAACTTTTTTCAATGGCTGGTCATATTTTATGTAAATCGCAAAATCGTTTATCTGGAAATATTGTAAGAGCATGTTTATGTTTTATAGTTGGATTTCATAAAACATTATATAGATTTAATGAAATAAATTATTTTGTATTTAATATTTTAAAAAAATAAATGTATTTATAAAAATCAAATAAAATATTTAAAATATTTAAAATATTTCATAAAATTAATTTTTAATTATCGTTTATTACAATTAAAATTAAAACCTATATATACTGTTAGAATATTTAAAAGTAAAAAATTATTGTTAAATTGTCGGTCAACTGGTCGGTTAAAATCAGTCAGTTAACCGGTCAGTCGGTCAAAAGCCTTAACCGACCGTTGACCGACCGTTGACCTACCATGACCGACCGTTACCATCCCTACTTTATATTGTTATAAAACTTATTTTAAAACTTCTAATAAAAAAGTTTTAAAACTTGTATTTAAAAAAATAAAAAAAAATTTTTGAAATACTTCTTGTATAATATGAAAAAAAAATAAACCTTTAAATAACTAATGATTTATTACATTTTAAATTGCTTTCATTGCTTTCACGAAAGATAATAAAATATGTGATCATATTTATTATTTTATTATTGGTCACGTTTTTGTCGATCGTACTTATTATAGAAATGCTGATCAATATTTTTAATCCAACCTCACGAGAAATTCGCTCCATTAAAGAGTTGATTTGCGAAGAGATTCTCGGTAGTTTGCAACTTTATACGCTCGAGAGTCGAACAAATTTCTAATTTCTGTGGTAAAGAATTTGCACATTCAATAAAATTTGGTATGTTATCTATGAGTAAATCCTTATTTATATCTGTAGACGTGTTAGAATTTTCCGAATTGATATTTTGTTGATCATTATCGATGTTTTCTATGAATAAATCCTCATTTCTATCTGTAAACAATGTGTGAGAATTTTCCGAATTATTATTTTCTTTTTGATGATCAATATTATGAGGAAATAATTTAAGAGTAAAAACAACTTCCTGCATTTCTGGACGAAGTTTTGGTTCATCTTCCCAACATTCTAGTAAAATTAATATTAATAATTCGTGATTTTTTATTCTTGAAAAAATAATTAAAAGTATTAATGTCTTACTTTTATATAGGTTGCTATATTCAATAGGAGTACCATAAAAAACCTTTTCTCTCAAACCTCCTTGTATGGCTAATACTAAATCTATATCATAATCTACGCCTTCAGGGTAAAATGGTCGACGTCCACTAGAAATTTGCCACATAAGGAAGCCAATACTATATACATCGGATTTTTTATTTAATTTGTAACACAGATTATTAAAAACTTTTGGATCCATATAAGGTATTTCACCATGATTGCTTGATACGCTACTTGATGTGTCATTGATTTTTATTGATAATCCGAAGTCTGCCAGCTTAATTTTTTTCTGGTGTATTAGTATGTTGCATGCATGCTTTTATCACATTGAAAATAAGAAGTAAAGATTTAGATTTTAAAATATCATTAATACAGTAATTAAATTGATAATAGTTTACAAAATAAATTACCAGATCACGATGAATAATATCAAAATCGTGTAAAAATGATACTGCGCTTGCCAGTTGTAACGCTAAGCCAATTTTATCATTCCATTGGAGTTCTTTAAAGTGCTGATTTAAATAAGCTTTTAATGTGCCATTATCAGCATATTCCAAAACTAACAAATAATTTTCCCCCGCATCTGAATAAAAAATATTATTATCATTAATTATTTTAATATTAACCGTTGCAAATAACATTTTCTAATATTACCCGCTTCTATTTTTGTGATTCCGCAGAAACTTATAATGTTTTCATGAAAACCAACATTCCGATGTAATTTTATCTGCGGCATAATAATAAATCATTATAAATATAATGCAATTAAATTTGTAAATAAAGCATATTATATACCTCATTGACAACTTCTTTAATATATATTTCATAATTATTAAAGGACTTCAAAGCGTATATATCATCGTTTTTCCAAGAAACACGTATTAAGGTACCAAATGTACCAGTTGCTATTTGTTGTTTATTCTTGAAGTCTGAATATTTGTAGTAATTTATATGTCCTTCAGAGATAGAATTTTTTATCCAATTCTTGTAACCATCACTAGCTTTGGGACATTTTAACCTTCTGATTTTTCTTAATAGGTTTGATTGTTTTCTTAATAATTTCGATTTTTTACGTAATTTTTTTTTATTTTTCATTTTGCTTGTAAAGTAGGTTATTAGAAACCGGTATTTATATTATTTACTAAATTTTTGTACTAACCATGATTCAAATTTGGAATTTCATAATGAACGTTCTTTATTGCCGATCACTTTTCATTACGCCTCAGATGCTTTAATGGTTGTCCCGTTAAGATAAAGATCGACATTCTACATGGCATTGATGGAAATATCACTCCGGCACTACAAATTGATTTCTGATCCTGTTTATACATTTTGCAAATTATACAACATAGATAAGTTCTCTAGTTTTCTCTTTGTACTTAATCAAAGCTATCATATGGGGGTTCTTTCCTATAATTAATCTGAATATTCAAATCTTTGCAATCAACATCAATGACTACATGCTTTGTCAATTATTTCTTTTGTGAAGAAGTGTATTAAGTATTTATGACTTCCATTAACCATCCAGTGCGCAGCAAAATTTTGTGTAACGAGAATTATATAATTTTTTTTGAGAAAATTATTTTGTACTTTTGTCAAGATTGACTATTTAATTTTAAACTGGGCGGATATTATCCACTTTCCAATTCTTCCACTTGAATGGTCATGGCTGAAGGTTCCAAAGCATCTTCTACTCAAAATGACATTGCGAATAGCCAAAATGTTCTCCCGAATGATTCGTTTGTAAACTTAATCGGACGACAATCTAAATTATCAAAGAATTTGGTAAACAACAAACTAAAAATTTGTTGAATTCGGTAGTAAACTTATCAAGAATATCTTAAGCAACAAAGTTGAAAACACTGTTAAAGCAGAAAGTAATTCTCTTCAATTCAAAAAGGTTTGCAGGAAATATGAGGAAGATATTGATTCTCTAAGAGCTCATATTGAGGAATTGGAATCTGAATCGATTATTAAAAATCAGAACTTGATCTTAATTTAAAAAAGGATTTAGAAAATAATAACTATCAAGTAGAATTTCAATGAAAATTGAATTGCGAAGTTTTGGAAATTCCGGAAATTGATTCCAAGGATGATAATTGCAAAATTCCGGAGGAAGAACCTTCTTAACAAAGAATGAAAATTGCAAAGTTTGTAAATACCGGAATTAATTAAAACAATTAATTTCCAGTAATAAAAGGTTAGAAAGGACATATAAAGAGGTTATGTTGAAGGCAAACTTTATAGACGTAACTAATGTAAGATAATATTTCTTTATTTAATTTATTTATTTAGAATGGAAATTAAAATTTATTTATATTTAAAGTTTAATTATCCGAAAATACATTATTATTCTTTTGAAGTAGTTGAATAAGAGCATAGTGGGAAGACCAGGTTCAGACAATGTATCTCAACAAATGTTATTGTCTAAAATATATGGACCAAACACTTTACCAGTTTATGTCTTTGGTCTAATATACTCACCATCCGAACTTGCAATAGGTCATAGCAAAAAAACCAGGAATCATTATGTAATATCGATTAAAATAAATATTATCATATTTTATTTCATAAATTTAATCAAACAATTATGATTGTAGGTTACAATTCCCGCAGAAATTGACAGAACAGGACGTTTTAAATTCGAAATAACATCAAGGAAAGATCATCCTTATTACTATTGGAGATTACGTTAGAGAGAATTCAAAAACTCCTTTGGATGGAAGTGCTATATTTGCTTAAACTGCCTTTTTAATAATAAATATCGATTAAAGTATTATTGATTGAAAAATCCATGTCTCATTTCAATGGACTATTTTCGCGAGATGTTGGAAATATGGACATAATTTCCACAGATAAAGGCCTGGAGGTAAATTATGAAATAACGATATTCAATTAACTTCATAATATGCTTCTGATATTTTCATAGGCAGATTTGTAATAAATGTAGATATAGGTACTGCCGCCATTTATCTAGCGAATACCTGTAATTGATATTATACCCCAAATCATTAAAAGATTCTCGTGACCGAGATGAAAAGTCAAAAGAAGATTTATGTCGAGGTCTTGAACGAAAAGAAATCGATGTTCTTAATCGGTACTTTAAACGTGTCAGTCTCAAATATTAGTTGGTTTTTCTGGTCAAATCACTCTTTAATAAATACACCTACACACATTTTATTGATATTTTTTTTCCATTATTATATTGGTACATTTCTCTCATTAAAACATACATAGATATTAATATTTTTCCATTATCACACAACCCAATGAGATATTCAGTCGACGATTTTATTAATTTCAAATTCTACAGCATAATTTACGTCCATTTAAGTCAAGTTCAAAAAAATGTATTTTTGTCAGTTAAATATTAAATATTTTTTGTTGATCAGCGAAATTTACACAGATATCGTTAAACCATTATTTCTATTGATAATAAGTTTTGAGTTCATGTTTGGAATCTTGCAATCGATAAATGGCTTAATGTACTTATTTTGCTAAATTAAAGGTTATTAATAATTGTGAAAAGTTAATGACGAAGAATGTTTATTATTATATACTCGTCACATTATTTATGTATCAGGTTACATTATGTAAATTTTGAGAAAAGGAAATGAATTTTATGGTAAATAAAAATGATATATTAACCAAATTGTAATTTTAACATTTCAAGGATCCTGAATTATTAAACTGTTAATAAGCTTTTAAATTACCGGATAATTAATATTTAATTACAACATACATTTCATTATAACAAAAATTCGATACGACTCTTTTTATCTTGAAAAATTTATGAAATCCGAGTTACTATTTTTAGATAAATTTCTGTATAGGTGGGATGTTTACGTTTAGAAGAAATTGTATCTCTGATAGTATAGTTAAGTGTGCTGGGCTTTGCCTATTATAAACATGAAATAAAGAGAATTTACAATCGTGAAATATTATATTTCATAAAAGTATTCTTAATGTTATATATTTATATAAATTCAGAAGATATTTTATGAATAAAAAAAATTATTATCAAAGTATTTTGATATACAACTACCTAGACGGTAATTTTTAGTTAATAAATCTCAGAATTTTCGTGCAAGCGCGCAACAAATGAAAATTAAAGATCAACCTTAAAAGAATTGCAATAAAAAAAATTAGTAGCGTCATGAACTTTCCGGTTTTTCCGGATTAGTATATATACAGTAAATGTAATTATTTTTTATTTTTTTTTTATTTTTATACATTTTTTATAGCTGCCGAAAATGTCCTCATAGTATTATCAAGAAATTGCTAATGATTAAGAAAATTACTTGAAATTGACGAAGGACATGCTGTCGGTAGCAATGAAGACGTTAAAGAACTACATGCTCATTCGTTCATACTACATATCAGGTCGTAATAGTTTCTTAATGAATTAGCTAAGAAAAATGTTGAGAAGAGAGAAAGAAATTTATATTTAAAATACTCCAACCTTTTTAAGATTATATTGAATGTACGGTGATGATATAACCAAATTAATAACCATAACATTTTCTTTATTATAGAAAAATTGATTTCACAAAAATCGAAGGACCTTAATTATTAAATTTGTCAATAGCAGTAAATACACTTAATATCCAACCTTTAGTTCCCAGAATTGAAGAATATTTAATTAATGAACATCATGAGTTTTTACAACAAAATCCTATATGAATTTCTTGAAATAATTTATCAAAAGAGTCCTTTACAAAATTATGTAATTTTTATCTTGTTCAAATTTGTGAAGACCCAAACAAGTTATTTAACTCTGATAAATTTCTGAAACGGGATGATCTAGGTTTAAAAGAAATTGAGATTTGGGATAGTTTAATCAAATGGGGTTTTGCTCAGAATTCTATTCTAAAAGATGTCACTAAATGGAGCACAGAAGAAACAACTATTTTCGAAAGAACCCTTAATAGATATATTCCTTTAATTTGATTTTTTTTGTATGTCATCAGAAGATTTTCTTGATAAAGTACCTCCTTTCAGAATATTGCTTCCAAAAGATTTGGCTAATAACCTTACATCATTTTATTTGGCACCGAATCGGAAATTAAATATTAATATACAACCAGTCGTTATCTCCAAAAATTTTGCAATAATTACGAGTTTGGTTGATAAGAAAAGTAGGTTATGGGCTATGTTTGGCCATGTCAAAGATTTAGTATTCAATTATGATGGTCGTTGGTCGAGTATAGTGCCTATTATCCTAATGTTGGTATACCTGGAGAATTTCTTGTGAAAGATTATAAAGTATTTCAAGTTATTAAAAGAAAAATATGTACATTATTGCTTACTTTAGTAATTTATTGTTACGTTTTATTCAATAAAAGATTTTAAGAAACAACGCAACGATTTTGAATTTCGACGAGATTTTTATAATATCTATTTATTAGTTTCGACGGTTTTGCCCGAAATCTTAAAAGAAACGTTCGTGTGCTAAATTATTGTGCACATTAGCCGTATCGAAAGTGAACACAACACTAAGGTTATTTGTTTGTACCTGAATATATATCAAAGAATTTGTCATAGAATTCCACCTTACATAAGTTATCGGTCCATGTTACTTGACTCTCATAACGCCACATTACTCAGACAACCTTTTTTCACTATAATGCCAAGATAAACCATAATGTCCGTCGTTAAACCATTTTCATTTATAATTTTCACTTTTTCACCATTGACAAAAATCACAAAACGTGTCAGAAAATAATTTTCAGCTGTCACCTCATCTTTACTGGGAATAATTGAGATAAATTAATTTATTGAGGAAATATCACAAAAATATATTAAATCGCTTGTTTCTACAAAAAAAAATAATTTCAGTTGGGATCCCAAAAATTTAAAAGTTCACTAATTTATTTTGTTAAAATATTTTGATAGTATAATTTACATAAAAAAAGGTTATATAATAAAATAATTTGATGGTGATTTCAAATGTTCAATTTACAAAAAAAGCATCGTATTACATCGAGATATTTGTATTCTCCCATCGCCGGGATTTCAAATTAATAAGTTAATATATCGTTTACGCTGAGTACGGTGGTGGTAGTCGGTTTGAGTACATCTCACACCTTCCAGACACTTTGCACATATTTCATCTTTATGAGATCTTTTACCATTACAATGTACTAAAGTTTCATAATTCAAGATGATTCCGTCATGATCGCATTCCTTGCAACCTTGGTACATCCTGCGCCTATAACGGCATGCAGAGCATCGTTCGCGTTTCTTCTTGCATTCATTGCATTTTCTGCGCATCCTTATGCATTTCTCTTCCGCGCAACCGTTTTTGCAATCAAAGCACTTTTGCATGTAAAAATCGTTTGGACTCAAAAAATCTGCTGGAGTTTGCTCTATAAACTTTTGGAGTGATATCCAAGTGTAAGAACTATGCCATTTATGAGAATACGTTTCGCATGCCCATTCGGCGATCACTCTATAGTGATTGTTCCATTCTAGGTGACAGATGATCTCGACAGTGGGCTCACTCTATGGAAATTTAAAGTTGAATATAAGAAATTGTATCCTGAATGGCAAAACATTTTTCCGTAGTTAACTCCACCTACGTTTGGACGCCTTGGTGGTCTGTCGTACAAAAAGAAGCTCGTGATCAGGCTCCTGTTTTTGCATTTTTCGCATGGTTTAGTGAAAAATTCGTGTTGAAGTCTAAGAGAAAGCTTTAGATACGTTTTAAGGGATTCACGAGAATATTTAATTTGCCATTCGTTTCCATTACCGCACTTCCGTGGCCATTGGCATAACCAATTGCCGTACACTATAAAGTCATCATTTTGTAGGTGATTGACGATTTCGTTAATCTATGAGAATAAATGTTAGCGGGAATGCGAGATATTTTGGCATATCACAAAAGGGTGAAATATGTTGTAATCATTTTTTTGACCTGCTCGATATTCTCTGCCCTGAAGCGAGTCTATAAAACGGGATATTTATGTTAATATGCATGATTACAAGCTATTCCCGGAATGTAATAGAAATAGAACAAATACCGTCTCGACATTGCACGGGAAATGAGAAAATGAGGAAGTATTTTTCGACACCACTTCTATTGGCTAAAAAAAAAACAGGTTACATTAAGTGTAATCCCTAAAATTACCTTTTGAGTAGAGGACTGCATGGGCTAAAAATTAAGTAACGTATGGACGATTGCTACTAAAATCACGTTCGGATCATGATTTATTAAGTCTCGTGACTTATTTTAATAGCTGCCCCCAGAAAAAATTTTTCCAACATTCAATTTGTGACCCGGACTGATGCAGACCTCCACATTTGAGACCTTTTCCTGTTGGCTTACATTGTCCCACGATCCACTTTCATCAATTCCACCCCAACCATACTTCAAATCGTCATTAATTTCACCCCAAACCCAACCGTTGGAAATCTTTTAATAAAGATAATATATTGTCATTACAATGACTCGCAACAAAGTAAAAAAAGATTTTCATAGTACATAACAACAAATTGAAAAAAAAAGCATACATACCGTCTTCTCATTGACGGTTGATAATGATATTGTATGTTCCAGATTCTTTGAGGGAGACCAGTTCGAATACGATTTATGTTTTGAAGGGTTTATCTCTATTTCTTCAAATAGCTCTATCGCCTTATCATAATCCTCAATAAATGTTTTATCTTGTGCATCCTATAAAGTGCAGTTAAAGTTTACATTTAGACAACCTTTTTTTTTTCATTCAGTCTTTCGATACTTTTATTCTTAATTTAATTTTTTTTAAATAAAAAAAATTAAAATATTACAGCCTACGAACACTTACGTTCATATTTGTGGAGGTTTTACTAAATGGCTTTTTTTCAAAAAATGTGAATGAAAAAAAGTCTATATATTAAAATTCTCTCACGGATATTTGTATTATTTTTATATTTTCACTTAACAAGGTTGCAAAAATCATTATTTACATTATTTACGGTAATGTTGACAATATCTTAATCATACTTAGCTTAAGCGTAGGACACTTCCGGTTAGTGTCATTTCATGTCAAGTGTTTGTTGTCTGTCACGCCGCGCCTCCCTGCAAATCATTTTGTATCACGCGCTTATTTGTTTACCTTACATTTTTAGGGTGTGTAACGTTTATAATGAGCGATAAAAGTTTATCTAGAATATTTCTTGTGATTTTTTATTTCATTTTATGGTTGAAATAAGTTTTAAATAAAAATTTACTGAAATAGTTTTACTGAAACTTAGGTTTGAGGTTAGTCACGGGATATGTTGTGGTTTTTTATTATAATATTTTCTTTTGCAAAATGTTCAGTTACAGTATAATATTATAAAACTGTAAATATTGTTGATATTCAGTTCTTTCGTTTGTATTTATAAACAATTTTAAAATGTAAGCAGAAGGTTTTTATTGATTAAAATTATCAAATTAATCAGTGTTACCTCAACAAAACTGCGCAATTACGAAAAAGTGAATAACAAAATAATAAAAAATATCGGGAATTAAAATAAAAATTAAAATGTTAAAACGGAAAATAACGCGAAAGGTTTTTTTATTAATTATTTAAAAGTTAATTCGAAACTTTATATTTTTTAATAAATAATTTTAGAATAAGTAAGTTTTTTTCAAGAATACTTAAAAATTATTAAGTGTAAACAGTTTTCATGATCGTCGTTTACATTGTTTTTAATATTAAATCAATAAAACATACGTAACTCGCAAACCTCCCATAAACTCGTAAATCAAATAAAAATACTAGGTTTAAATTATAAATTCTTAAATACAACCAATTCATTCCTGCCTCAAGCGGCATTTTCGCAGTTACTGACATCAGTAATATAACAACTAAGAAAGCTTTGACACCATAATTGCTTGCGAGCGTACTTATGGTGTTTTAAAACTTTAAACATTTGGATTTTTTGGTAATAATGTAACTATATGAAATTCATGAATTATATCATGTGTGGTAATACGTGCTTATAACGATAAACTTCATGAAAAGATATATCATAAAACCTATCTAAAGAAAATCTGTTACAGTTTGGTTGATAAATACGACATTTAATCAAAATATTCCAAATTTTTATTTATTTCAAATTTAACTCAAGCAACGATATCCTTCTTGAAATTGAGATTCAAAGAATCCAATTTCAAATACCCTTTTCTGAATTCCAATTTCAATCATAATCATATTGGTAACTCTTTTTAATTTCAGTATATTCTAATTTCAGACACGAGACCGTCTGAATTGGGATGTCTGAAATTTGAACTACAGATTGAATCTGAATTTCAGACACAAGGCCGTCTGAAATTATATCTAAAAATTATTTTATTCATATTTCTTTAATTTTGTTTTTTTTTTAACTTTTTTATTCTCTGAATGAAATTATTAATGAAAAAAAAAAAAATTGGCGATTCTTCTCTATAATTAAGAATTATCTATAAAGTTGAATTATCAATTAATATTTGAAGAATTTTGTTCATTATCTACAAAAAAAAAAAATTTAACATAAAAATTGAAAAAATAAAAATAAAACTAAAAAATAAAAATATTATAAAATGAAATACTAGAAAGAAAAATAAAAACCTTCATTACGAAGCAGCCGAATACGATCAAAAATCCTAAGATAAAATATTAAAAGAAAAATAACAAACCTAGAACATCCTTAAAAAAAAAGATTGAAAAAACTTAAAAAAAAAAATAAAATAAAATAAATAAATGACCGAAATTTAAATGCTATTAAATTTAATAAATAAACGTCACTAAATTAAATGCTATCTTCTTGATTTAAATATTATAATTCAGCTAAAAAGACGATTTTTGTTAATACGCAAAGACTGAAAATTTAATAAATCGTCATAAATACAATTGGTATTTCTACTAAGTTTATATAGACCCGTATTCAAATATTTATTTTAGGCGACACCGGACAACTAAATCCAAATTACATAATTTTTATGCTAGGCATCCAGTAGTTAAAGTACTTTTAAGCCAATAAAACTTCATCAATGAATGCCTATTACTTTAGCCCCCATATGCAACTTCACCGAATATCGTTCCTAAAGTGCAAATTCAACCCTACCTCTTCAATCTAGGACGAACCTTTCTTCGGAGCCGTAGTTGACCATAGCTTTTTTTGATTATTCTGATCGTCTCTAAAAAATATCACCATCATCGTTCTGTTTTTAAAATGAAATAATGTAAAAATTTGAAACTAATTAATTAATATTGGATATGATAAAATTACACTATATTAAATATTTCAATAATAAATTATATAATTTTTGAAATATTTGTTTGAAATATAAATGTAGAAAGTAGAAATGCATTAAGCAATAAAGATATTAAAAAACAGTCATCAAAATTAATTGATTTGCAAAAACTTTAAAAATCCTTCAGAAAAACTTTCTCAAAATTTTTATAAAATCAATATTTTGCTATAATATTTTGATAAAGTTCTCCAGTAACGGGTCTTTAATTACTTTTCAGCTCAGAAAAGGAAGTCTCTTGTATCTATTTCTTTACAATCATGCAAATTTCAATATTGACAAGTAATTTGAATTGGATTATTAATGTCTCGAGTTCTTAAATTTTTATATTTAAAGTTAAGTGATTTTGCATTATTTACTAATCGTAATATTTGCGAAAAACTACTGGTGTATACTTCGCATTATTTACTAATCATAATATTTGCAAAAAACTACTAGTGTTTACTAATTGTAATATTTGTGAAATACTTCAGGTTGAAGTATTTAAAATGTTTACATTCTGTAATATTTATGAAAACTACAGGTGTAGTACTTCACATAATTTACTAATCATAATATTTGCAAAATACTTCAGGTCAAAGTACTTCGAATGTTTGTATTCTATAATATTTATGCAAAACCACAGACGTATGATTTACTATCTATAATATTTATAAAATATATGATCAAAGAATATTGCAGGATTTACAGTTATGATCAAAATTTGTCACAAAATTTACGGTTTATATTTACTTATTTAAAAATTTATGTAATTTGATAATTTATATCAAATTTTCTTAAGCATTATAATGAACTACTATAATATGTATATATTAGAAAATTTTAGATTGTATAGTCAAGTTTATTAAGTATTAAACTTTATTTTTTCATGATTATTTACCTAATATCATTTATTTGATTTGATTACATAATTTAATTTTAATTAAATAATGCATATATACATGATGATTTATTTTAAAAAAATATAATATAAAAAAAAACAAATAGAAAAAAAAAAATACTAAAAATATAAATAAATACAAAAAATAATCAAAATTAAAAAAAAATAAAACAAGATTACACAAATAAAAATTACACAAAAATGATAAGTAAGATAAAAATAAAAATAAAATAAAAACTAAAAATTAAAATTAATTTTTAGTCTTCTTCTATCCCTCCTCTTATTCCTCCTTCTATTCCTCTTTTTGTTCCTTATATTCTTCTTATTTCTTCTTCTTGATCCACTTCTAAATCTACTTCTTCTAGATTTGCTTCTTCTTGGTTTACTTCTTTTCTACTTCTTAATCTATTTGACTATTACTACTTCTTCCTCTATTTCTCCTTCTTTTACTTCAATTTCTAAATACAACCCATTTTCTATTTACTTGTTACCTAATATAAGATCTTCTTATTAGATTTAAAAGTAAAAAATTAATTAATATATATATTAAATAAAACAAATAATAAATTTGTTAAATCATTATAATTACTTTAAGATAAACAAATTCATTCTCTATCATCTCATAAAATTTGATATTATATCTATTAGGATTTCTTATTAAATTTTTTCAGAATTTTCTATTCTTATACTTTATATATTTTATAATCACAAACTAGCTCATTTCATTTAATTTGGCACTGTTTTCTAGTGATTTGTATTTGATAATCTATATTGATTTCTTGGATATTTGATCCTAAATGTTAGCATATTTATGATTACTAGTATTTTCAAAATACTTCTTAATAAAGATATTGTAAATTAATTAAATTATTGATGGCATCAAATGTCTAAATACTAGCTGAAATTTTTGAATTATTTCTAATAAATAAGTTGTAAAATTTATACACAAATAAATTATTAAATCATATTATTATCATCTCATAAAAGTATTGATTCTAGAACTGATTCTAGACATCATATTCTTAACTTAATCACACAGCTATCAGATGATCCAGGTCATGTTTATTTCAACAGATCCAATCATTAGTTCTAATTAATTAATTAAAAAAAATGTATACTATTATAATAATATATTAACATTAACAAATGATAATAATGCAAATTAATATTCACTTAAGATTTAAAATGTTGGCTTTATAAATAATTCATTTTTAACTTCAAGGAGAATAAGATATAAATAAGTTAGAGAGATAGTATTTTAAACGAGAATATCTAATTATAAGTTCATTACTTTTCTTTTTTATTAACAAAGATAAGTTGTAAGATTCCTCATCCCAACTATCAAGAGTTAACTTGCATTTACCCTCTATTATTACTGATTTAAGATAAAGCAGAAATGTTAATGAAAGTTTTATGTTTACAGGTTAGGGAGTAAAATTCAAAGCAATAATTTACACCTAATTCAAAATCATTATCATTATAATTTCCTAATTTCTAGAGGTTGAAACTGTCTAAAAATAGTTAACTATTTTAATTAATAATAAATTTTGTTTTAGCAAAACAGGTTAATGTCAAACTTGTCTTATCTATCTAAGATAAATGACGTAGTATCAGGTTGATTATTGATCAAAAGCTTCTTAATGAGTTTAATACTGAAAGTAAGAAAGAAACTT